AGGGTTCAGGCGCTCAGGTCTCAGGGTTTAGGGTTTAGGGTTTAGGGTTTAGGGTCCACTAGCCCAAACTTGCAGCCCACTTGACCGTGTCCCACCCACCCATGACCCAAGACATATTGATCTCGATGCGGTATCAACACGCGGCTCGCAAAACGACGACGAGGACGACACCGATGACGACGACGTTGATATTGTTTTGAAAACGACGACGACACGGCCGCGCAAAGACACCTGGGACGCGGCTGCAACGGCGGTGCGGCCCGCGCGCGTGACGACGCGATTTGAAGAACCACGTTTTTTGACGCGAGTCCCTGTGCGATGCAGGGACGGCGACGGCGGCGTCGGCGGCGAGGCCGCGGCACGGCAAGCGCAGGGCGGCCGCGTCGGCGATGGCCACCGACCGCTGCTCGGCGGGCGCCGCCGCGCTCGGTGCCACCGGCGCCCTCGGGAGCGGCGGATCGCCGTCGCCGCAGTCGGCGATGGCCACCGCCCGCTAGTCGCAGCCGTCGCCACCGTCGCCCCGTCGTCGCCGCCGCCGCCTGCGTGAGGGGCGCACCCTGGGATTTGCAGATCCTCCCAGAACGCCATTCCTGGCGCTCCGAGGGCAAGGATCTGCGTGAGGGGTGCGCCAAAATGGGGGGGGGGGGCGGCCGAAGGGGGGACTTAATGGACGCGGAAGGCATTTCAGGATTTAAATCACTATAGGCTTTTAGTTTTTAGGGCTTCTCTTAGCGCAGCGGCCGACAGTCCAGGCAATGCTGCCCCCCCTTCGGCGAGCTTGATTGGGGGGGCGGCTAGCCGACCCGAGCAAGCTTGGCGAAGGGGGCAGGAGGTGCAACATCTTCCCACCCCCGGCCGCATGGCCGGCAACCTCCCGAACTAAAGCCTTTTAGGGTTTAGGGCCGTTGGCCCGTAAATTCCCAAATGCGTTCCAAGCGCTCCCAGGCGCTCCCTGGCGCCCCCAGGCGCTCCCAGGCGCTCCCAGGCGCTTTCAGGCGCTCCCAGGCGTTCCCCGGCGCATTCCGAAGCGCTCCGAAGCGCTCCCAAGCGCCCCGTCGCGATCCCAGGCGCTCGCAGGCGCTCCCAGGCGCTCCCAGGCGCTCCCAGGCGCTCCCAAGCGCTCCTGGCGAATTCCCAGGCGCTCCCAAGCGCTCCCAGACGTTTCCAGGCGCTCCTTGGCGTTCCCAAGCGCTCCCAGGCGCTCCCGGCACGCTCCCAGGCGCCCCCAGGCGCTCCCAGGCGCTCCCCGGTGTTCCCAGACGCTCTTAGGCGTTCCCTGGCGCTCCCAGGCGCTCGCAGGTGCTTCCAGGCGCTTCCAGGCGCTCCCAGGCGCCCCCAGGCGCCCCCAGGCGTTCCCAGGCGCCCCCGGCGTCACTTCGAAGAAAAGGTCTTTGGGTTTAGGGTGTTGTATTCTTCGAGGATCAGGGGGAGGTTTATCGTTGAAGCGCGAATCCCCAAAGAGGGGAGGGCAGCAGCAAAAGCTGCCAAGGCGAACCATTCGGGCAACATGCTCAAGCATCTCAAAGGTACCCCGTCTCTCGTAGACGGCGACGGTGATGCGCGGTGGGGTGGGCAGAAGCACAACGAGGTGCTTGGGAATTTAGGGTTTAGGGTTTAGGTCTTTGGGCTCAGGGCTTAGGACTTCGGGCGTAGGGTTGATGGCTTGGGGCTTATGGCTCAGGGCGTAGGGCTCATGGTCAGCAGGAGCTCGCGCAGATCAGCGCTTGCGCGGACTAGCCGTGCCCAACCTAAACCCGAATCATCGGACTCTCGACCCTCTCATCGCGGCAACGCGGTCTTAAATCTTCTTCCTCGCCGCCGTCGTCGTGCGTCGTCGTCGTCGTCGTCGTCCGAAACTGGAGATGTACAGAACATCTTCTTGCTTGCATAGGGTCGTCACGGTTGAAGGTTCGAGAAGACGATGTCAAGATCAGCACATGTGCACCGTATGGCGTTCCTTTTGCACAGGGCTGTGCGCCGCACAGGTTTCCCCCGAGGGCTTAGATCGATGGGTCGCCGAACATTGTAGTTTTTTCGCACAGGATCACGACGGTTCAAGGCTTGAAAGGACGAGATTAAGATTAGCAGCAATGTACCGCATGGTGTTCTTTGGATGGCATCACGAGGGGGTCGATTTGTAGAAACGCATTCGATTCCCATCGGGAATCCCGAAGGGTTGAAGGCTTGATACGATATGGCGATGTTACGATTAGCAGATGTGCGCCGCATTGGACTTAGGGACCATAGCACGGAGCGTATGGTTCTTTCCTCAGGGCTCAAGGCATATGGTTTAGGGCTGAAAGCTTAGGGCTCAATGCTCAGGGCTCAGGGCTTGGGGCAGGGTTTAATACTTAGGGCGCGTCTTGGGGACGAGGGCTGAGGCGTGAGGCTTCAGGCGTTGGGTTCAGGGCATGAGGCTGTAGGTTTACGGTTTTTGGCTTCGATCGTGTAACGTTTAGAGCGCTCAATGCTCTAGCTTAGGACATAGCGCTTAGAGCCTCACGCGTTGGGCTTAGCGCTTAGGGCCCATGGCTTACGACGCAGGGCTTATGGCCGACATGGCTTATGGCTTTCTCCGCCCGAAACCCATTTCACAAGATTGCTCTACCCTGTCGCCATGTCAGTTCAATCCTTTGTAATTTCGGACACCTTCCAGAACAGGTGAGGACGAGGATGTAGTCCGCGCGGTTGGTGGTGTTGACCACGTTGAGCATGATGATGACGGCGGCGGTTTCCACCATGAAGGGCTTAGACTGTGAGCGTGCAGCACAGAGCGTACTTTGCATAGGATCGCGAAGGGTGAAGGCTTGAGAAGGCGATGGCAAGATCAGCAGGTGTCGGGGCCAGGGCCGGAGGGCACCAACTATACACCAACACCGATCCTGGCCCAGGATCACCCTGGGCCCAGGATCGGTGTATATGACTTCTTGCGCAAGGCAGGAGGGCGTATACACCGATCCTGGGCCCAGGGTGATCCTGGCCAGGATCGGTGTTGGTGTATAGTTGGTGCCTTCCTACAGGGACCAGAAGCGCTGACTTGTTGGCCGGGGGCGATCGTGGACCGCTTTCTCGCGCGGGACCCTGTGCGACACTGGGCCGTGCGGCCGAGCGTCGGCGCCCCAGGCCTTCCGGCTCTCTGCCACCCGTGGATCCGCGTCATCTCCAAGAGAACGGGCAAGGACGCTCCCCTCCTCCTCCTCCTGCTCCTCCTGCTCCTCCTCCTCCTCCTTCTCTTCCTCCTCCTCCTCCTCCTCCTCCTCCTCGTCGTCCTCCTCCTCCTCCTCCTCCTCCTCCTCCTCGTCCTCCTCCTCCTCCTCCTCCTCCTCGTCCCTCTCCTCCCCCTGCTCCTCCTGCTCGTTCTGCTCCTCCTGTTCCTGCTCCTGCTCCCGCTCCTCCTTTTCGTTGTGGTCATGCGAGTCAGGGATGATGGTGCCGATTCCCAACGAAGGTGGAGACGTGAGTCGGAGTGGATGCCTCCCCCAAGGCCGTGTCGACGTCGTGGCCTCTGTCGCAGGTCGTCCTCCGCCGACGCCACTGCCGCCGTTTCGTGGGCCCCCCTCCTCTCTTCCACAGCGCCCAGACGCACCCATCGGTTCTCTCCAGGCTGGTGCTTTCACCCTCGTGATGTCGTGCCTTCAGATGTTCTGTGCTGCTCCCCTTGTGAGCAGAGGCGCTCTCATCGCCTGGCGACAGTGTCAGAGGACCTGCCCCCTTGCCGCCTCGACCGGGCGCGGCGCCGAGCGGCCGTTCCCAGCAGGAGCGCGGTGTGGCCCTGCGGCTGTGGCCTCGCGATGCCTTTCCTTCTCGAGGAGCATCGAGTCGGCGTCACCCCAACGTACTCATTCTAGATGTGCGTGGCCCCATCCCAGGGCGAGGCGCGGTCGCGTTCTGGCCACACCGCTCAGGAAGCAATATACTACAAGATGGGTATGCTATATGTTCGAGTCGGACGCGCGCCTCCAGGGAGGACATAGAGTACTAGTACGTCTTTGTGCCTCCCATTGAGGGGCGTGGGCGCATGAGCAGGATCGCCGCGCCCTCTGGCGCCTATTTTTCCCAGCTTGCTGGGGCCCTCCCGACCTCCCGGTGATGCCACTCCACCTCCACCTCCACTTGGTAGTCCCCAAACGTGGTGGTGACAACACCCGGCGGTGAGTCTCGGGCGATTTGGCGTCACCACCCGGTTTGGGGACCCCTGTGTTTTTTCGAGGATGTCCTGACCGCTGGTGGGTCTAGGGGTCACGGAACCCGGCGGTGACCTCGTGCTCCCAAACCCGTCGGTGACTTTTGGGGGATTCCAGGTCGCCACCTGACAATCTCACCACCTGGTTGGGGGGCTCCCGATCCACATGCTGCTCCTCATCTTCCTGCTGCTCCTGCTCTCCCTCCTCCTGACGTAGTTCGCGGACTTCGTCCTCGACAGCCTGGTCGGAGACCTGGTAGTCGTGGGCGAGGATGCGGACGGTTTGTAGTCCCCTGGCTGCCCCTGCTGGCACTCCCCTTTGGGGAGGTGCTCGGGCCCTTTTTTCCCCTCAGTCGGGCTCACGCCCGAGCCGCCTAGCTGTGCTTGCACGCTTGGCGCCGCGCCGGATTAATAACTCCTGACGTAGTTCGCCCCCCCTTCCGTTCCGAACCCCCCGAGGAGTATTTCTACAACGTGGAAACCGACCGAAACGAGAAGGACGTGCCGGCCGAGGCCGCGCCCCCCTCGGCCTCCGCTCTTGGCCCTCATTGCCGGGCCTGCTTTCCACCACCACTACTACAAGTTGGAGGGGGTGTTCTCCTCCTCCTCCTCCTCCTCCTCTTCGTCCTCCTCCTCCTCCTCCTCCTCCTCCTCCTCTTCGTCCTCCCCCTCCTCCTCCGTAGCCGTTTTGGCACAAGAATCTCGTTTCCCCCGGGAAAGAAGGGGATACGTTAGTCCGCGTCCAGTCTCTGTCTCTCCGCCGCATTCGCGCGGCGTGTCCCTCTCCACGGCCCCAATTTCCCCGAGTTCGCTCGTCATGCGCGACATCGCCGCCGCCTTCGAGGAGGTCGCCACGTTCCCGTCGCAGGAGGGCGCCGCCACTCCCGTTGCCGCTTCCCCTCCCAAGTCCGCGCACGGCAAGGGCAAATCCGCTTCTCCTGTTCCTCCATTTAAGCGTCTATGTGGTCCTGGTGCCCCTATCGTTGTGCCTGATGCTGAATGGGAAGATTGTTCCGAGCCATACATCAAGCAAGCTTGCCTCCAGGTGTTCGAGTCATTCAAGGCGGCCCTCACTACTGAGATCGCTGCCAAGATCTCTCAGGATGCCGCCGACTCCAACAACAAGTTGCTGGCAATGGTCGATGCGCTGCGCTCCGAGGTCGCCAAGAAGTCCGAGGATGATGATGATGATTGCGAGCGTGTCCTGGGCATTGTCCGCCCCGAGGTCGACGGTGTGCACAGGCGCTTGCAGCAGCAGGTCGACTCCACAAATGCGCGTCTCGCAGCTGCCGAAGGGCGGCTGGACGCACATGACAAAGAACTTCAAGCTCTCAAGGATGAAATGGGGCGCCTGCGCCATCTCTTTGCCGTGGCCGAGCAGCGCCCCGCGGCTCCTCCTCCCATCCTGGCAGGCCTCGACCGCGACGTGGGTCCGTCCATCGTGCACGCCATTGCCCAGCGCCCCACTTCCCTTGCGGGGGACAAAACCTCGCTGCAGCAGTTCGCGCTCGACTCGGGCTTCCAGGCGGAGGAGTTCGAGATCCAGGCGCTGGGCCCCCTCCCGTCGGAGCGGTTCGCGGTGCAGTTCCTCGGGCTCGCTGCGCCTGTCGCGCGGCGGGCCGCTAAGTTGCTCGGCTGCCTCAAGAAGCGGGGCGGCACCTGGCATGGATTCTCGGCTTCGCGCGGCGCCAACTCGCAGTGTCGCTCGCGCCTGGGCCCGTACAACGGCCCCAAGCAGATCCGTTTGGAGGTCACGTTGCCTCGCGTCCGCCAAGCGCTCGCTGTCGCTCACCCTCGGGGCGAGATCTTCATGGACAAGGAACGCGGCACATTGTCGGCCGTGTGGTCCTGCATCGCCCGCGTCTCCGTCTCACCTGGCAACCGGGCGCCGCAGACCCATTGGGGGCCATCCAACCTGGCCAAGATTGGCTGGGATAAGCAGCGCTGCCTCGACGCCTGCCGTCCCCATCGCGACCCCTGAAGCCGAGGAGCATAGGTGTCTTTCGCATAGGCAATCTGTTTGTCTGCGCCTCGCCAAGGGGCGGCGCCCCGCGGGCCCCGCTCAGATTTGCCACATGGAACTGCCGAGCGTTGCTCCAGGCTGCAGGGGATTATTTCTCCGCGCAACACCGTCATCTCCCTTCAGGAAGTTCATCAGGCTGAACTTCAACTTCGGACCTTTCTTCGCGATGTGGACCCTGGCATCGCTGTCTTCGCCTGCTTCTGCGGGGGACTTGCAGGTCGGATTCGCGGTGGGGTCGCGATTATGTTGCCTCCGTTCGCTCAGCGCGGGGACTCTTGTATCGAGCCGAGGAAAGCTCAGCTGGTTCCTGGGAAAGTTTTACGTGTCTCAATTTTGCGTGGTGGTATCTCCTTCGCGGACTACAATGCGCACAACCATGACTTGACTTGCGAGGGGGTCCAGTCTGTCACGTCTGACATCTCCACCTCTCTCCGCTACGCTGCGGAGGATCCCGAGTCGCGCTTCGCCCTGGTCAATGGCGACTTCATTTTCTCCGACACCGACTCCGCGCAACCGAGTGCGCCAGTGGCGGCGCTCGAGCGGTCTGGGCGGCAGCATCATGCTCGCGCTCCTCTCCTGCGCGCGGCATTTGCCCGCGCGCTCGAACTGGAGGGGCAGGGGGCGACGCGTTACGTCCGCGGCCAGGACTCGGAAGCGATCATCGGCAGGGTGTTCGTCTCCATGCCCAGCTGGCTTGCCTGCCAGCACCTCGCCCTGTCCTGAGCGCTGGGAGCCGCTGCGGACGTCGCCGACAGAGAGATGTCTGATCACGCGGCCGTCATTGCGTCATTGCGTCAATCTCGCCCCATTCTCCCGTCGGAACGCGCTCTCACTGGGTACTTGTGCAAGGGGGCCGTCTTTCGCAAGCGTTTGCAGGGGCTCAGGGGCACGGCCGATTGGGCTGGGCCATCACATCCGTGTCCCGTCGAACATTTCAAGTTCTTGATGCGCGAAGCTGGCCGCGCGACGCGAGATGTCCTGTTCCGAGACTGCTCTGATCACGCCCGCACGCGATTACAGTTAGCCCGATCGATTGCACGTTCGATATGGTGGGGTGATCGCGTGCGAGCCGGACGTCTTCTTGCGTCGCATCCTGCTGCCGTCGATCATCTTGCCCTCGCCTCCTCAGGCGTCGAGCTGCTGCATCCGCCATCGTTCCAGGAGTGGCCGTCGCGAGCTCGGAAGGGGGGCCGCTGCTCGCGAGCGTGCCGAGCCCGAGTCTCGTTTTCGCGCCGGGGGCAACGCTCGTCAGCTTCGCCTCGTTTGTCGTGCCCGCCTATGGTCCCCACCCGGTCGCCGCCTTGCTCTCTGCGGCAACTGTGCGTGACGTCCAGGGCGTGGTTTCGGATCCTGGGGCTCGGCTTCAAGCGCTGGGCGCCTGCTGGAAGCCGGCGTTCTCGCGGAAGAATTGGAGCGCGCAGCTGGCATCGAAGTGCGTTCGCAAGTGGATCCCAGATGTCTCGCACGTTGCGCCCTCTCCTCCCGCCCCTCGTCTTCTTCGGCTGGTCCTTCAGCGTGCCCGAGACTCCGCCGCTGGTGTCGATGGGGTTCCCTGTGAGGCCTGGCTTGCGTCGCCGTCGGATATCGACAGATTGCGGCCCCCCCCCCTGGAATGGTTGCTAGATGGGCAGGCTCTGTTCGATGATGCCAGCATTGCCATTCAAGCGTTCTGGCCGAAAAGGTATCGCGGAGGGGGGCTGCGCGATGCCCAGCGCGCGCGGGCGCCGAATATGGTGCGAGTTCTTGGTTTCGGAAACACGGACATTGAAGTGCTGTCCGCCACGGTCAACGCCGCTTTCCGCCCGCTTCTTCAAGCTGCTGCGCCTCGCTGTCAGCGTGGCTTTGTTCCGCGTCGGAACTTTGGCACGAGCGTTCTGAAGCTCGACGTCTCGTCGCGGCAGTTATCGGTCACCCCCCCTGGCTCCCGTGACTTCCCCATCCTGTTCCTCCTGGACTTCGGCCAGGCCTGCCCCTCCCTGAACCAGGACTCCCTGATTTTCCTCCTCGGCTCCTTGGGCCTCCCGTTCCCGTGTCTGGATTTCGCTCGTTTCCTCTATGCCGCCATCGTGGGTATAGTGCCGGTGAGGGGAGTGTTCAAGCGCATGTACTGGTTCCGTAGTGGCATCGTACTTTGATGTGGGCTCTCCGGGACCCTCTTCGCCCTGGGCTCCACGGTCTTCCTGGGTGACCTGCAGGCCTTGGTTGAGGGCCCTCAGCTCGGTCTCGTGCGGGCGTGTGCAGATGACATCGGGGGCGCATCATCTCGCGGCGCTCTGCTCTCTCGGCCCCGTCGCGCGATGTCCGTCGCCGCTCAGATCGCGAATCTGGTTTTGAAAACCGCCAAGTGCAAGGTGATCCCGCGGTGTGCCAAGTTCTCGGAAGCTCTCGCGTGTGACTTGTCCCGCTTGATAGTTGCATCGGTTCCTGGGTGGGCCGCGTTCGAGTTTGTCCCGTCTCTGGTGCGATTGGGTATCCACGTGGGTCTCGCTGCTGGCCCCGCCGCATCCTGGACAGACCCCGCCGCCACATGTCGGTTCAGATCTGCGGCTATTGGGGGGGCACCACTCCCGCCAGCCTTTCCTCGATCCTGTGCAGCACCAAGGCGGTGAGTACCTTATCATGCGTCAGTCTGTTCACGTGGATCCCAGCAGAACTATTGAAATTCGAGCTCGCAGTCCTCGCGCAGGTCTTCCATGTCCCGCTTGGGGTCTCCAATCAAAGAGCACGGTGCCAGCTCGCCTCGCTGGGGGGGGGGGGGGCCCTCGCGCGGCGCGCTGGCTCCACCTGAATGTGGCATCCTTGGCGCGGGCGGCGCTGTGGACCTTTCCTGCGCATGGGCGGCTTCGGGGCCGCCTCGTCTCCTACGCCGCCGCGCGGCCTCTCTGGCACACCCTCGACATGCTGCGGACGGGCGCCGCTTGCCCGAGCTTCTGGCAGGCCCCCGCCTTCGTCGACACTATGGCTGATGCAGTTGCTGGCGTGGCGCCCTCTCGGGGTGCAGTGGCTCCCCTTCCTCATGCGGTCTCGGCGGCGCGTGCTGAGATTGCTGAAGCTGCTGATCGCCGCCCTCGGCCTCGACGTGCTGCTCGTCGCGCGCTGCGTGGGCTTGCTCTACTCGATGCACCGCTGCTGCGGCTCCTCGCTTTCCGGCTGGGTAAGCTCCTTGGCCAGCGGCGCTCCGCCATCTCCGCCTTCGGCTGGGCCCAGGTGCGTTCGCTGCTCGCCCGATGCCCGCGCTCGCGGTCTTGGGCGGTGCTCAGAAGCTGGGCGGGCGGATGGCTAACGTCGTCGCGGACCGTTCGCCCCCAGGGGCTGCGCGGCTGCGCCTCCGGGTACGCACGCGCCCCTGGCGCTCTACGGTATTATGCAAGTTGTCGCCCTCTTCGTCGGGCACTGCGTCGGGCGCTCGCTCGGGCCCTCCCGCTGCCGCTCCTCGGGTGCTGGCTGGGCGCTCGCGGCCCCCTCCCCGGCGGCGGCGTCGGGCATGACTGCTGCGCATGGTGCCTGCCACGCCGCCGAGACTATTCCTACTTGGCCGCTTTCTCCCGAGCAGTCGTTCCTGTGTGCGCTGGCTTGGGTACGCGGCGTGCGCGTGGCGACCCCGCTGATGCGCGCGATGGTTGAGCGCCAGTCCCTGAAGCCAGCGATGGAGCGTGAGACTGCGGCGGACAGCTCATCTTCATCATCGTCGTCCGCTTCCTCGTCTGCTTCCACCACCTCTTCGTCTTCTCGCTCGCGCTCTTCGTCGACTTCGTCTGCGAGATCCCGCTCGCCGTCGGCGTCTTGCTCGTCCTGTCCCTCGCCGAGGGTTTTTGGATTTACCTCATCGGCTCCGAAGACGCCGATGGCTACCCCCTCCTGTTCTGCGCGCCCATCTTCGTTGTTTGCCGCGTCTCCTTCGGTGGCGCGCTCCCCGTGGGTTTCGCCGTCGAGTGGTTCAGGAGTTTGGGACGCCCTCAGATTGTCTAGCAAAGGGTCATGCGTGAGCCCAAAATCATGTACCATCGTCGATTCTTCCATAGCCTTCTTGTGGTGTTCCCCCGCTCCCTCGTGGCCCTTTCGCCTGTCCTCTCTCGCCCTGGCATTCCTAGTCCGTCGATCCCAGCTCGTGTTATGCCTCCTGGAAGTATTCTCTACACCTGTCTGTCGTTCCCGGCCGCAGCTGGTGCCGTTGTCTGTTCCCCTCCCCCTCATTCGCTCCCGTGCGCACGTGATGCGCCGTCGCGTCATCGGCCCGCTGGCCGCGGCGCCGTCGCCGACGCGGCGTGCAGCCTGCTGGCCAGGCCAGGCGCGCCCGACCCGCCCGCCCCACCGCCCGTGGGGGCTGGGGAGCTGGCCCGGGTGGGGCGAGGATCTCTGGGCACGCTCGTCTCCTCCTCGCCCTCCTCCTTTTCCCCCATCCAACTCATGGTGGTGGCGGTGGAAAACAGGCCCATCATTCATCCCCCTCGCCGCCTCTGGTTTTCCGTCCAATTGAGTCGGGCGTGTCCCTCTACAGGAGGAATATGCAACAATTATCAAAACACAGTCTGGGCCCGAGTCTTCGATTCGAGTATGTTTGGCCGCGTTTGCGATCTGATTCATTTGTCCCCCACATCCAAAGTGGGGTTCTTATTTCCTCTGGACACCCCGCGAAGGAACACAGAGGAACACACACAGACTCATTCACATTCACACTCACTCACACAAAAACCATCTTGAGCACCTTGACCACCACTCGGTCACACATTCATTCACTCACTCAGTCATCATATGCATCATCCTCATCATCATCCTTCATTCAGTCATTCACTCATTCACTCACCCACTCAATCGCTGGCTCGATTATGGCGGAAATCTCTGGCGGAGGGCGTCGTCTGTGAGTGAACAGTGAGGAGGCCTTAGGCAGGACCCCCCTTCCCTATGGGGCCCGCACTTCATGTTTTTAATCCGAGCGGGTCATCCTCAACCCTGGAACTGTCGTCGCTTCGGGGCTCCCGAGGCCTGAATATGGAGGAAGCATCAGGCGGGGAACATCGTGTGTGAGTGAATTGCGAGGAAGTGTCATGCGGGGGCCCCCATCCCTATGGGGCTCGCACTTCACGTTCTTAATCCGAGCGGGTCATCCTCAACCTTGTAGCTGTCGTTACTTTGGAGCTCCCGAGCCCTGAATATGGAGGAAGTATCAGGCGGGGCGCCTCGTTTGTGACTGAACTGTGAGGAAGTCTCAGGCGGGAATCCCCCCCCCCCATGCGCTCTTCAGAGGGCGATTCGCCCGACCCATCAGGTGAGGAGGAAGAGGAGGAACAGGAGGTGAGGACGACGACGGCTGCCGGGCGCAGGGGGAAGTCCTTGCGCCCGGGCCGGGAGCGCGTGCTCAGCTCAGCGTGCACTGCAAGGAGGAAGAGGAGGAGGAGGAGGAGGAGGAGGAGGAGGAGGAGGAGGAGGGGCAGGAGGAGAACCCGGTTTCGGCATGGGCTGGGGGGCGAAGCTGTCCGTTCCTTGTGATGCCCCCCGCCTTCCCGCTTCTGAGTTAAGAGAGCTACGGAAAGGAGAGGCGCCTTGCACCCAATTCAAGTTCGGGAAAGTGGCCCCTTTTTGTTTTTTATGGGTGCCTTTTGGCTCAATCAAGTCTGATAAGGTGGCTTTGCGTTTGCGCGACCAGTTTCGCAGAGTCCTGAGTCCTAAGAGCAGCAGCGACAGCATGGGGGAAACGGACACAAGAGGAATACTGAGTTGATTAATTCGTGGGCGTGCCTGCCAGGGCTCGCAAGCATGGTTGTCGGCGAACTCCCGCCATCGACGTTCATCGCGTACGTAATCGAGCATCTCGCTAGACCCACAATCGCTACGAGCTGTCCCCGTAGCCATTTCGGCTCAAACCGCGGGCAAAATAGTCGCGAGAGTCCCCGCGATCTCGCGGCCCAGGGCGTTCGGGTCATGGGCGGCACGGGCAAAGGCGGCAGCAAGGGGAAGCCGGCCGCAAAGGGCAGATCTCCGAGTCCGCCACCAGCGGAGCAGCGCAGCGGAAGTCCGCCGCCGCGCGGCTCCTCGGACCCTCCGGCGCCTGAGGGCGTGGCGCCCCAGGATGTCTCAATGCGGGCGAAGATTTGCTACAACTTCCTTGCCTTCTTCGCCTACTGGTTCGGCGCCGCGCGTTTTGACATGGACGGTGATGGTGATTTCGACGCAGCGGACGTGCAGGCCATGATGAACAGAGGGAGTTCGGCGATCTTCCTCAACTTCTCGCGGCCAGTCACAAGCAAGAAGGCGAAGGAAGCGCGCCGAAAGAAGGTTGAGGCGAAGAGGAGGCAGAGAGCAGGTCAGAGTATCGGTGACAAGGTCGATGGCATCTTCGACGCTGACGTCGAGGAGGAGGCCCAGGAGGACGAGATCATGGACAACCTAAGGCAGTACTGGCCCTGGTTCACCATCCTTGAGTTTCTCTTGTGCCTCGGCTTCTGGGGCGTGAACGCGTTCAACACGAGGGCCTACTCATTACTGCAGTGGGACAAGGTTATCACAGACGACCTTAAACTGATACAGTTTCGCAAGGATGACCCGAACGATCAGCTGTTCCTTGACGATTGCACGAAAGAGTGCAGCGGTGCCGACGAGACGTGCGTGGGCATCGGCTGGAAGAATGGGCCGTGGCCCGAGTGCTTCCTGCTGAGCTCGCTGCCAGAAACAGACTTCACATATCTGCCCTGCCAGAAAGACGCGTGGGGCTGGCGTACCTACATGAAGAAGACGTGGACCCCCTTCGACATGTTCTTCACGAAGGGAGGCCTAGAGTCCATCTGGCCCGGGTTCACCACCCTGACCGCCTACAGCTACTGCCATGAGGGCTACGACATCAGCTTCCTGTGGAGATGGTGGAGCTACCAGTTCACGCACGGCAGCATCACTCACGTTGGCGCCAACTGTTTCATGTTGCTCATGCTCGGCATTCCCTTGGAGGGCTGGCAGGGAACAGGCATGTTCGCTGTCATGTGGACCATCGGGGTTCTAGGCGGAGCCCTCTGCTGGGCGCTCTTCGACCCCTACACCACCTCGTACGGCGCCTCCGGAGGATGCTACTCCCTGCTCGGCATGCACGCCGCAGACCTGATTCAAAATTGGGGCGACAAGAAGTGGCGCTTTGGTACAATTTTCATTATGCTTCTGGTCGCCGGTGTGGAGTCGGCCGCCTTCTGGTCTTCGCGTGACGAGGAGAGTTCTACGGCTCACACTGTGCATATTGGTGGCATCGTCGCTGGGCTCCTCATCATCTTCACGACCGGCCGCAACGACCACTGGAAGGTTTGGGAATACGTGTGCTCCGCGATGGCCTGGGCCGTGGCAGCCATCCTCGTCATCGGGAGCATTTCCTTCTGGTTCTTCTTCAACGAGCACCCCGGCATCGCCAGCTTGTGGAAGCCGCTGACTGGCCAGACCATGGAGCGCCCCTTCTGTTGGATCGGGTATGTGTGCATCGGCGATAGTGGCAACCACTGTCCGCTGATAGACGACATTAACGATTACACGACGAGCTACACGAATACGTTGAGGCAGTGCGTCATGTGCGACACAAGGGAATGCGTGGAGGGTTGGTACAGCGACACCTACGAGGTCACCACCGCAGGGGTGACCACTGAGCACTACAAGTATTGCCCGACTGAGGCGTCGCGCAGCTATTGCACCTTCACCACCGACGACAGCTTCGACCTGTGGTACCCTCCGACCAAGAGCGCGTACCAGCTCACTGACACGCCTGCGCCGTCACCTGCACCGACGCCTTCACCGACGCCGACGTGAATGGTTGACCAGCAGGCATCTCTGCCCTGCGCGTCGCCACAATTTGTCGGCGTCATTTGTCCTTCGGGAGGGGCTGTTGTGGATGAGCCAGGGGGGATGAGCGATTGGGAAAAAGGTCGGCTCGGCGGCGCGCAGCAAAGTGGCAGGGCCAAGGCGGCCTTTTAAAAGGCCCCCCACCCCTCCTCTGGGAGGGTGAGGGGCGCGCAGTTTGTTTGGATGTCGATTGCTTCCAAGTGGCCCCCTCATCCCGGCCCCTCTCTGCTCACCGCCAAGCATGTGCCGAAACGTGCTAATTTGCATGGTCCGCATGCCCGCTGTCTTTTCGCCCGGGGAGCCCGCGGGCGCGCTGTAAAATCTGACGCGCTCTGGGCCTCTGACTGGTGGGTCTCGCCCAGAGACGTATCACCCAGAGACCGAGCCGATAGGGATGATGAGATAGAGGGAAGAAAGCGGAGAAGGATGAGCGGGTGGATGAGGAGGGTCCGTGGTCTCGGTCTTGGCAAAGTTGTGCGGAGGTCTAGTAGCCATACCCTAGCGCGGCTGCCAATGAATGGTGCCAAGTGGTGCCTGCGCGCCTTCAACAGGGGCGGCTTTAAGTGTATTGCTCTGCGCGTTGCTCCGCCCGCTTTCCTTCTGAGGACTCGGACCTGTCGGGAGCAGAAGCCGAAAGCGGAGGAGGAGGAGAAGGAGGAGAAGGAGACTCCTTTTTGGGAGTTCGCGCAGCGACGCGACAGGGCGGCCTGGGACCCACGAGGAGGACGGTCGGTGATGCGGCGGGGGCTTGCGCTGCTCATGCTCCCCCCGCCGACCCTGTCCTGAATATCACGTGTGCGCTGCATGGAGCCTGGCCGGCGGCCTCGAGGACGCTCCTGTTCGAGGGGCGCGGCAAATCTGCCGGGGCAATGCTCAAGATCCGTCTGAGGCATTTTGGGGCAAAACATTGCCAGCGCCTGCGTCCGTTCGCCTCGCCCTTCCAACCCTTGCCCCGCGCCTGCCACGCCACCAGCGGCTGCGTCCGTTTGCCATCATTTTTCCTGCTCCTGCTCCTCGAGCCGACAGTCGGAGAGCGCGTTGTCGGCGCGCGCCCCGCGGGCTCGGAGGAGCAATGCTTTGTGGTGCAGAGCACGCGACTGAGGAGTATGTGACGCAGTAGCAGCGATAGATGGAGGAGGAGGAGGAGGAGGAGGAGGAGGAGGAGGAGGAGGAGGAGGAGGACAATGGCGGCGGCGATGACGGCGATCAGGGGGGCAACGCTCGTCAGCTTCGCCTCGTTTGTCGTGCCCGCCTATGGTCCCCACCCGGTCGCCGCCTTGCTCTCTGCGGCAACTGTGCGTGACGTCCAGGGCGTGGTTTCGGATCCTGGGGCTCGGCTTCAAGCGCTGGGCGCCTGCTGGAAGCCGGCGTCCTCGCGGAAGAATTGGAGCGCGCAGCTGGCATCGAAGTGCGTTCGCAAGTGGATCCCAGATGTCTCGCACGTTGCGCCCCCTCCTCCCGCCCCTCGTCTTCTTCGGCTGGTCCTTCAGCGTGCCCGAGACTCCGCCGCTGGTGTCGATGGGGTTCCCTGTGAGGCCTGGCTTGCGTCGCCGTCGGATATCGACAGATTGCGGCCCCCCCCCCTGGAATGGTTGCTAGATGGGCAGGCTCTGTTCGATGATGCCAGCATTGCCATTCAAGCGTTCGGGTCGAAAAGGTATCGCGGAGGGGGGCTGCGCGATGCCCAGCGCGCGCGGGCGCCTAATATGGTGCGAGTTCTTGGTTTCGGAAACACGGACATTGAAGTGCTGTCCGCCACGGTCAACGCCGCTTTCCGCCCGCTTCTTCAAGCTGCTGCGCCTCGCTGTCAGCGTGGCTTTGTTCCGCGTCGGAACTTTGGCACGAGCGTTCTGAAGCTCGACGTCTCGTCGCGGCAGTTATCGGTCACCCCCCCTGGCTCCCGTGACTTCCCCATCCTGTTCCTCCTGGACTTCGGCCAGGCCTGCCCCTCCCTGAACCAGGACTCCCTGATTTTCCTCCTCGGCTCCTTGGGCCTCCCGTTCCCGTGTCTGGATTTCGCTCGTTTCCTCTATGCCGCCATCGTGGGTATAGTGCCGGTGAGGGGAGTGTTCAAGCGCATGTACTGGTTCCGTAGTGGCATCGTACTTTGATGTGGGCTCTCCGGGACCCTCTTCGCCCTGGGCTCCACGGTCTTCCTGGGTGACCTGCAGGCCTTGGTTGAGGGCCCTCAGCTCGGTCTCGTGCGGGCGTGTGCAGATGACATCGGGGGCGCATCATCTCGCGGCGCTCTGCTCTCTCGGCCCCGTCGCGCGATGTCCGTCGCCGCTCAGATCGCGAATCTGGTTTTGAAAACCGCCAAGTGCAAGGTGATCCCGCGGTGTGCCAAGTTCTCGGAAGCTCTCGCGTGTGACTTGTCCCGCGTGATAGTTGCATCGGTTCCTGGGTGGGCCGCGTTCGAGTTTGTCCCGTCTCTGGTGCGATTGGGTATCCACGTGGGTCTCGCTGCTGGCCCCGCCGCATCCTGGACAGACCCCGCCGCCACATGTCGGTTCAGATCTGCGGCTATTGGGGGGGCACCACTCCCGCCAGCCTTTCCTCGATCCTGTGCAGCACCAAGGCGGTGAGTACCTTATCATGCGTCAGTCTGTTCACGTGGATCCCAGCAGAACTATTGAAATTCGAGCTCGCAGTCCTCGCGCAGGTCTTCCATGTCCCGCTTGGGGTCTCCAATCAAAGAGCACGGTGCCAGCTCGCCTCGCTGGGGGGGGGGGGGGCCCTCGCGCGGCGCGCTGGCTCCACCTGAATGTGGCATCCTTGGCGCGGGCGGCGCTGTGGACCTTTCCTGCGCATGGGCGGCTTCGGGGCCACCTCGTCTCCTACGCCGCCGCGCGGCCTCTCTGGCACACCCTCGACATGCTGCGGACGGGCGCCGCTTGCCCGAGCTTCTGGCAGGCCCCCGCCTTCGTCGACACTATGGCTGATGCAGTTGCTGGTGTGGCGCCCTCTCGGGGTGCAGTGGCTCCCCTTCCTCATGCGGTCTCGGCGGCGCGTGCTGAGATTGCTGAAGCTGCTGATCGCCGCCCTCGGCCTCGACGTGCTGCTCGTCGCGCGCTGCGTGGGCTTGCTCTACTCGATGCACCGCTGCTGCGGCTCCTCGCTTTCCGGCTGGGTAAGCTCCTTGGCCAGCGGCGCTCCGCCATCTCCGCCTTCGGCTGGGCCCAGGTGCGTTCGCTGCTCGCCCGATGCCCGCGCTCGCGGTCTTGGGCGGTGCTCAGAAGCTGGGCGGGCGGATGGCTAACGTCGTCGCGGACCGTTCGCCCCCAGGGGCTGCGCGGCTGCGCCTCCGGGTACGCACGCGCCCCTGGCGCTCTACGGTATTATGCAAGTTGTCGCCCTCTTCGTCGGGCGCTGCGTCGGGCGCTCGCTCGGGCCCTCCCGCTGCCGCTCCTCGGGTGCTGGCTGGGCGCTCGCGGCCCCCTCCCCGGCGGCGGCGTCGGGCATGACTGCGGCGCATGGTGCCTGCCACGCCGCCGAGACTATTCCTACTTGGCCGCTTTCTCCCGAGCAGTCGTTCCTGTGTGCGCTGGCTTGGGTGCGCGGCGTGCGCGTGGCGACCCCGCTGATGCGCGCGATGGTTGAGCGCCAGTCCCTGAAGCCAGCGATGGAGCGTGAGACTGCGGCGGACAGCTCATCTTCATCATCGTCGTCCGCTTCCTCGTCTGCTTCCACCACCTCTTCGTCTTCTCGCTCGCGCTCTTCGTCGACTTCGTCTGCGAGATCCCGCTCGCCGTCGGCGTCTTGCTCGTCCTGTCCCTCGCCGAGGGTTTTTGGATTTACCTCATCGGCTCCGAAGACGCCGATGGCTACCCCCTCCTGTTCTGCGCGCCCATCTTCGTTGTTTGCCGCGTCTCCTTCGGTGGCGCGCTCCCCGTGGGTTTCGCCGTCGAGTGGTTCAGGAGTTTGGGACGCCCTCAGATTGTCTAGCAAAGGGTCATGCGTGAGCCCAAAATCATGTACCATCGTCGATTCTTCCATAGCCTTCTTGTGGTGTTCCCCCGCTCCCTCGTGGCCCTTTCGCCTGTCCTCTCTCGCCCTGGCATTCCTAGTCCGTCGATCCCAGCTCGTGTTATGCCTCCTGGAAGTATTCTCTACACCTGTCTGTCGTTCCCGGCCGCAGCTGGTGCCGTTGTCTGTTCCCCTCCCCCTCATTCGCTCCCGTGCGCACGTGATGCGCCGTCGCGTCATCGGCCCGCTGGCCGCGGCGCCGTCGCCGACGCGGCGTGCAGCCTGCTGGCCAGGCCAGGCGCGCCCGACCCGCCCGCCCCACCGCCCGTGGGGGCTGGGGAGCTGGCCCGGGTGGGGCGAGGATCTCTGGGCACGCTCGTCTCCTCCTCGCCCTCCTCCTTTTCCCCCATCCAACTCATGGTGGTGGCGGTGGAAAACAGGCCCATCATTCATCCCCCTCGCCGCCTCTGGTTTTCCGTCCAATTGAGTCGGGCGTGTCCCTCTACAGGAGGAATATGCAACAATTATCAAAACACAGTCTGGGCCCGAGTCTTCGATTCGAGTATGTTTGGCCGCGTTTGCGATCTGATTCATTTTTCCCCCACATCCAAAGTGGGGTTCTTATTTCCTCTGGACACCCCGCGAAGGAACACAGAGGAACACACACAGACTCTCACATTCACACTCACTCACACAAAAACCATCTTGAGCACCTTGACCACCACTCGGTCACACATTCATTCACTCACTCAGTCATCATATGCATCATCCTCATCATCATCCTTCATTCAGTCATTCACTCATTCACTCACCCACTCAATCGCTGGCTCGATTATGGCGGAAATCTCTGGCGGAGGGCGTCGTCTGTGAGTGAACAGTGAGGAGGCCTTAGGCAGGACCCCCCTTCCCTATGGGGCCCGCACTTCATGTTTTTAATCCGAGCGGGTCATCCTCAACCCTGGAACTGTCGTCGCTTCGGGGCTCCCGAGGCCTGAATATGGAGGAAGCATCAGGCGGGGAACGTCGTGTGTGAGTGAATTGCGAGGAAGTGTCATGCGGGGGCCCCCATCCCTATGGGGCTCGCACTGCACGTTCTTAATCCGAGCGGGTCATCCTCAACCTTGTAGCTGTCGTTACTTTGGAGCTCCCGAGCCCTGAATATGGAGGAAGTATCAGGCGGGGCGCCTCGTTTGTGACTGAACTGTGAGGAAGTCTCAGGCGGGAATCCCCCCCCCCCATGCGCTCTTCAGAGGGCGATTCGCCCGACCCATCAGGTGAGGAGGAAGAGGAGGAACAGGAGGTGAGGACGACGACGGCTGCCGGGCGCAGGGGGAAGTCCTTGCGCCCGGGCCGGGAGCGCGTGCTCAGCTCAGCGTGCACTGCAAGGAGGAAGAGGAGGAGGAGGAGGAGGAGGAGGAGGAGGAGGAGGAGGAGGAGGAGCAGGAGGAGAACCCGGTTTCGGCATGGGCTGGGGGGCGAAGCTGTCCGTTCCTTGTGATGCCCCCCGCCTTCCCGCTTCTGAGTTAAGAGAGCTACGGAAAGGAGAGGCGCCTTGCACCCAATTCAAGTTCGGGAAAGTGGCCCCTTTTTGTTTTTTATGGGTGCCTTTTGGCTCAATCAAGTCTGATAAGGTGGCTTTGCGTTTGCGCGACCAGTTTCGCAGAGTCGTGAGTCCTAAGAGCAGCAGCGACAGCATGGGGGAAACGGACACAAGAGGAATACTGAGTTGATTAATTCGTGGGCGTGCCTGCCAGGGCTCGCAAGCATGGTTGTCGGCGAACTCCCGCCATCGACGTTCATCGCGTACGTAATCGAGCATCTCGCTAGACCCACAATCGCTACGAGCTGTCTCCGTAGCCATTTCGGCTCAAACCGCGGGCAAAATAGTCGCGAGAGTCCCCGCGATCTCGCGGCCCAGGGCGTTCGGGTCATGGGCGGCACGGGCAAAGGCGGCAGCAAGGGGAAGCCGGCCGCAAAGGGCAGATCTCCGAGTCCGCCACCAGCGGAGCAGCGCAGCGGAAGTCCGCCGCCGCGCGGCTCCTCGGACCCTCCGGCGCCTGAGGGCGTGGCGCCCCAGGATGTCTCAATGCGGGCGAAGATTTGCTACAACTTCCTTGCCTTCTTCGCCTACTGGTTCGGCGCCGCGCGTTTTGACATGGACGGTGATGGTGATTTCGACGCAGCGGACGTGCAGGCCATGATGAACAGAGGGAGTTCGGCGATCTTCCTCAACTTCTCGCGGCCAGTCACAAGCAAGAAGGCGAAGGAAGCGCGCCGAAAGAAGGTTGAGGCGAAGAGGAGGCAGAGAGCAGGTCAGAGTATCGGTGACAAGGTCGATGGCATCTTCGACGCTGACGTCGAGGAGGAGGCCCAGGAGGACGAGATCATGGACAACCTAAGGCAGTACTGGCCCTGGTTCACCATCCTTGAGTTTCTCTTGTGCCTCGGCTTCTGGGGCGTGAACGCGTTCAACACGAGGGCCTACTCATTACTGCAGTGGGACAAGGTTATCACAGACGACCTTAAACTGATACAGTTTCGCAAGGATGACCCGAACGATCAGCTGTTCCTTGACGATTGCACGAAAGAGTGCAGCGGTGCCGACGAGACGTGCGTGGGCATCGGCTGGAAGAATGGGCCGTGGCCCGAGTGCTTCCTGCTGAGCTCGCTGCCAGAAACAGACTTCACATATCTGCCCTGCCAGAAAGACGCGTGGGGCTGGCGTACCTACATGAAGAAGACGTGGACCCCCTTCGACATGTTCTTCACGAAGGGAGGCCTAGAGTCCATCTGGCCCGGGTTCACCACCCTGACCGCCTACAGCTACTGCCATGAGGGCTACGACATCAGCTTCCTGTGGAGATGGTGGAGCTACCAGTTCACGCACGGCAGCATCACTCACGTTGGCGCCAACTGTTTCATGTTGCTCATGCTCGGCATTCCCTTGGAGGGCTGGCAGGGAACAGGCATGTTCGCTGTCATGTGGACCATCGGGGTTCTAGGCGGAGCCCTCTGCTGGGCGCTCTTCGACCCCTACACCACCTCGTACGGCGCCTCCGGAGGATGCTACTCCCTGCTCGGCATGCACGCCGCAGACCTGATTCAAAATTGGGGCGACAAGAAGTGGCGCTTTGGTACAATTTTCATTATGCTTCTGGTCGCCGGTGTGGAGTCGGCCGCCTTCTGGTCTTCGCGTGACGAGGAGAGTTCTACGGCTCACACTGTGCATATTGGTGGCATCGTCGCTGGGCTCCTCATCATCTTCACGACCGGCCGCAACGACCACTGGAAGGTTTGGGAATACGTGTGCTCCGCGATGGCCTGGGCCGTGGCAGCCATCCTCGTCATCGGGAGCATTTCCTTCTGGTTCTTCTTCAACGAGCACCCCGGCATCGCCAGCTTGTGGAAGCCGCTGACTGGCCAGACCATGGAGCGCCCCTTCTGTTGGATCGGGTATGTGTGCATCGGCGATAGTGGCAACCACTGTCCGCTGATAGACGACATTAACGATTACACGACGAGCTACACGAATACGTTGAGGCAGTGCGTCATGTGCGACACAAGGGAATGCGTGGAGGGTTGGTACAGCGACACCTACGAGGTCACCACCGCAGGGGTGACCACTGAGCACTACAAGTATTGCCCGACTGAGGCGTCGCGCAGCTATTGCACCTTCACCACCGACGACAGCTTCGACCTGTGGTACCCTCCGACCAAGAGCGCGTACCAGCTCACTGACACGCCTGCGCCGTCACCTGCACCGACGCCTTCACCGACGCCGACGTGAATGGTTGACCAGCAGGCATCTCTGCCCTGCGCGTCGCCACAATTTGTCGGCGTCATTTGTCCTTCGGGAGGGGCTGTTGTGGATGAGCCAGGGGGGATGAGCGATTGGGAAAAAGGTCGGCTCGGCGGCGCGCAGCAAAGTGGCAGGGCCAAGGCGGCCTTTTAAAAGGCCCCCCACCCCTCCTCTGGGAGGGTGAGGGGCGCGCAGTTTGTTTGGATGTCGATTGCTTCCAAGTGGCCCCCTCATCCGGGCCCCTCTCTGCTCACCGCCAAGCATGTGCCGAAACGTGCTAATTTGCATGGTCCGCATGCCCGCTGTCTTTTCGCCCGGGGAGCCCGCGGGCGCGCTGTAAAATCTGACGCGCTCTGGGCCTCTGACTGGTGGGTCTCGCCCAGAGACGTATCACCCAGAGACCGAGCCGATAGGGATGATGAGATAGAGAGAAGAAAGCGGAGAAGGATGAGCGGGTGGATGAGGAGGGTCCGTGGTCTCGGTCTTGGCAAAGT